TGGCCATCGGGAATGTTGATCTACCAGACATAACACATATTTATGTTTCCTAGCAGAGGGAGGTTCAATAGGTCCAGTAACGTCGAATGTTAACTGTTTCGAAAGGTAATCCTGGCCTTCTGACCGGTGTGATGCGAAATCTTGTCAGATCGCTTTTCTGGACTTTTTCAACTGACAATCTTTGCACGTTTTACAAAAGGTTTCGAACATCTTGTGCTAATCCAGGCCAATAAAAATGAATATCGTATTCGCTTCCTTTGTTTTTCCTTATTCCAAGATGTGCACCGAAAATGGAACTATGTGCTAATTCCAACACTTGTGCTCTTCTACTAAGCGGAAGCACTAACTGAAAAACAGTCTGTCCTAATATTTTTTCTTGGTGATGTAAAAGATGATCAATAAATAAATAATTTCCTTTTTTTTCTATTGCTAGCTTCCATGCTTCTCTCAGCCAGGGGCAGTTAACTTGCTCTTCGCGTAGGTGTTCAGCAGAGGACAAGTCTGTGTTGACATAAACACTTGCCTTCTCCCCTTTCTCCTCTTCGTTTTTCTCCTCCATAAGCATTAGGGGGGGGGGGAATCGACGCTGTCGTTTGACTGTGCATTGGCGAATAAAGTTCGAGCATTTTCGCTTCTTCTTATTTCTTTCTGCGTTTGGTTCTTCTGCCGCAGGATTAGTCAACAGTTCGTATATTTCTGGAGTTATTAGGCAAGGCACATTTAGCTTATCAGTCACTGCAATTAATGTATCCACAAAATTAAATATATTGCTTCCATGATCTTTATGGTAAATAGATACATGGCAAACTTTTGCTTCAGGTGGTTGTCCGAAAGCAGTTGTTAGCAATATTTTACCTCCTTCTCTCTCCTCTAAATTTGGAATGAGTGATGAATGTACGTATTTTCTCAGAGTTAATAAAAATATCTACTTTTTGCAGTGGTTGAACGATGCGTTGTGCGAACTCGGATCGTAGATGGGATGAGTCTACTTTAGCTACGATGGCTTCTTCTTTTGATGTTCTGTTTGAATTTTTTTTTGAGTTTTGGAATCATCCTTTCCCTTCTTATTTACTGCAGTTTCGTTCTTTCTTCTTTTGTCTGGGCAATCTCTTGCGATGTGTTGATAATTTCCACAAGTATAACATTCTTTTCTTCACGCGTGAGATCTTTCAAGTTTTGGATATTCTTTCCTCATGGGTGGCGGAATATATTTGTCTTGTGCACATGTTGTATCCAGGAATCTCGGTGATCGCTTAATTCCATTTCGAACTTTGTCAAAAGATTTTTCTTTGGCCGTGAAATAAATATCACATTCTGTAGCTAATTCTTGAGGCTTCAGCCATTTATTTCCTTGGCGTATTGCGATGTGTGCAGCTGTTTCTTCTTCTAAAGCTTGGAATAATTTATCTGAAATAATTAACTCCTTGAGTGTTTCGAAATCCTTTACTTCTCTTGACTTGCAGTAATAGTCCCATGTAGCTGTTAGTCTTGAAGCGAACTGGATATGCGTTTCGCCGGAATAACGTTTAGTTTTCTAAACAGGTTTGAGGAGTAGGTTGATATTCCTTCGGAACAAGAGTTTTCACTTTTCGTAATTTTGCAGATCTTCCTCCTTTATATAAACAAGAACATTTGAAGCTTTTTCTCCAATTAATTTCAATATTTCTGATTTGTATTCTTCGGAAACGTTCTTGTGCTTAAATGCTCTTTCGATAGAATCGAAAAATATATTCCATTCTTCTGCTCTCATCGGTACTGGTATAGTCAGTGTTTCTACTCCGTTGATCAGCTTGTCCAGGGAAATTTCGGTTTCTCGTTCTGTGTTTTGGATTAAAGGTGTTGGACTTCTACTTCCATCATTTTGAAGTTGCTCGAATCTTCGCTAGTTCTATTTCGTGTTCTCTTTCTGTTTTTAATTCTTTCTTCTTCCATTTGTATTCTTTCCATTTCTTCTTTTCTTTTTCTATTCTCCACTGTATTAATCAGAATTTCTTTCACGAAATCAGCATCTTCAATGTATTCCTTGCTATTCTGGAGTTTGTGTTTCAGTTCTACCAGCTTCAAATCTGGGGATGCTTCTTCGCCAATTTCCAATAGAACTGTTACTAAATCCTCTTTCTTTGCGTTTTTGAACATTTTCTTCTATTCTCCTTTAGAACCAAGCTTTTTGAACTCTCAATTAAATAATTCTCACGTTTCTACTCCCTTTTGCAAATGCGCACTTCTTTCGTTAGTTAGGCTTAACTTTACGCCATTTCCGTTTTCAGCGCTCTAAGCTTCTAACCCCTCTGGTTCTCGTAAGAGAGCATGTTGTGATGACTTTGTGGTTTAACAAGGCACCATTTAGCAAGATGAAACAAACATTTATTAAATATATGATTCAAAGCATAATATAATAGTGACTCAGAGCAGTACATCGCTCCTACCGCATAGTACAATCTACTACGTTCCTCTTCCGAGGCTAACATGCAACTCTTAATAAATACATTAACCCTTCTCAGAGAAGAGCTACCTGCGTCAAGCACGCTCTGTTGATCGCCAAACAGTCGCCAGATATCACAGTACCACTATAGAAACATTAGTTTTTTTTTTTTTTTTTTTTTTTTTTTTTTTTTTTTTTTTTTGAAGCAGGGGAAATGAAAAATCAGCTATCAGAATCAATCAAATCCTCACTGGGAATCGAACCATGGACATCTCGAATACGCACTGTGCATGCAGACTGCTACAGCACAAAGGCACGCTAAGAAGGCAGGAGTAATACTTTATGACGTCACTGGATAAATTCCTGCATCTTCAAATAATTCAACTGAGAAATCATAGGATGCTCCATTTATGATAAGATGATGTTCTATAACGAAAGTTAAATTTATACAACCATATAATCGAAAACCAACCCCCCCCCCCCCCCCCCCCCCCCCCCCCCCCCCCCCCCCCCCCCCCCCCCCCCCCCCCCCCCCCCCCCCCCCCCCCCTCCCCCCCCGTAGCTGCTACTTTAATCTACAGTGATATCATTTTTGTCTTTTTCCGTTAGCACAAACTCAATTGCTGCTATTTGCTGGTGTACATGTCCAAGTGTTTTCTTTTTAAACACCCATCTTCCTTGAAGTAGATTCCCCTTTAAAATTTTTGCTTTTCCCCCCTAATTTCCTTCTGCATTTGTTTTCAGTGTTGCCACAAGAAAATTAAGATTTTTCGATTTTTACACTTTCATAAATTTTGCATTGTTGTCAAATTTTTTAAAATATCAGTTTTTAAAATATCAGTTGCATTAAATGTGTTTCAGCTGAAGACAGCTAGACATTTTAACTATAAATAAAGTTTAAAGCAAAGTCCAAAAAATAAATATTTGAATTTAAAGATTTTTGTTAAATGAGAAAAAAATGAACCACTCCAGTAGCACTTATCCTGTACCACTGAGTAACCCAATTCTTATATCAGGTGCAAAAAATCTTAATCATATTATTTAGAGTTTTTAAGTCAAAAAACTTTTGTGTGTGTGTGATTAAGGTAAAGCTTCGAGGGCTATCTGCCTAAGGGGAGGGATGCCTTCGTGAATGACTTTCTAAGAGAAACTGGCTCCTATACACGTTACACATGGGGAAAACCGCGAAAACGTCCATGCAGCTACCCCGTTCGTGGGATTCGAACCTCGGATCGAACTACCAGTTTTCAGCGAATTTACCGCTTGGCCGCTAAAAAATTTGTATGTTAAAAAAGATGTTTTTAATATAATCTACAACACGAGAGAAAATTTATACTTAAAACATTCCTTCTAAGAAGATTAATGTAAAAATTTATGTTTATATATATGTTTTTTAGAGCTGGGGCATGACTCGATGTTTCAACGTCTTGTTTGCTTAAAAACATTGTGAAAATAAACATCAAACGAACGTTTCTCAATTTTAGACATTTAAATTAAGTTAAAGTAAAGTAGCAGACGATAACACGGCAAAGGTAAAAATTTACTCTTACAAATGTTAAAAAAGAGCAAGAAAGAAAGAAATTTAAAAAAAAAGGTTAAAAATTTGAGTAATCTATACTTAAAAAAATAGCTTTTCATATAGTATTAATAAATATTTATTATGCATCAATGAGGGAAAAAATTTGATATAATTAATTCTCCCTAAAAATTTGTTTGAAATTTAAGGTAAAAAATAGCTGTGGCAATTCACTGTAACAAAATCCATAAACCACATTTGGCATTATTATCGCTCAAAAAAAAGATGCTAAATTTTAAATCACGCAAATATGTAAATTCGTGTATATCTTACAAAATTTTGGATAAAAAAGTCTAATTTTTTGCAAGTATGCTTAGAAATACGTCATCTTTAAGATGACGGCAAAAATGTTATATGTTGTAAGTCAATTTTTTTAAATGTATTTTTTTTTAAATTATTTAAAAATACAAATTTTAAAAATAAATCATGAAAAATAGGTGAATTTTATTTGGAATGAACTTAAATTTCGAAATGCGAAAGGAAGAATCAAAAACGTTTCATAAAAAAAGAGATATTAATAAATATGTACCAAATTCAATTAACATTCAGGAGCTAAAATTTTGAGAGCTAATTTTTTTAAAACTACTGGTGCGATTTTTACAAAACTTGGCAATCTGGCATAATTTGAATCATAGAATCGAAATATGTAAAAAAATTGGCATGTTATTTCAGAGAAAGTCCGATTTTGTGTCAAAATACCTATGTTAGAATAGTGCTATATATAAATCTAATATATATCCCAAGTCGTGCTTTCGAGACATGAAGAATGCAATTTGAATTTCGTCAATCGACCCAAGAGAAGAGGAGATATAGAACTGTCTTTTTTTTTTTTTTTTTCCCCCCCCCCGCAGTGTACCTTTTATGCAGTGGGCCTTCACCTTGCAAATTTTCTTCATGCTGGGCTCTGTGGCTGGTTTTTGGTTATTTGTTCATATTAATATTAAATAAGTTCATTTTCAATTAAATTTTTTATTAGAAATTAAAGAAATTTTTCAATGTAACAAATTGTTATATTTTGTTTTATGTAGATAGGGAGAAACCAAAAGGCAACACACATATGAGGGACAAGACAACAATTAATCGCCTGCGCATGTATAAGAACTTTAAAGCAAAAAGGTATAAATTTTTTCATTATAGTACTCTTTTGTATATCTTTCAGCTGTTATGGATTATTAATGTAAGTGAAATTTGTTGTTTTGATGTAAAATACGAAAAACAAAAAAAGAATGTATTTTATCCTAAGTATTTAGCAGTGTTTTTAGAAATTTTCATATAGTATGATAATGGCATTTTATTTACAGTTTTAGCATTTGTAAGACAAAAGTTTTGTACATACAGTCTTATTAAAGAAAATATTAAATTAACTTAAATTTTGTTAATTTAAATTAACTTTAATGTAATCTGAATTTTGAAATACTGCAGTACGAGATGGTTGTTTCTTTAAGACTGTAATAAAGATTTTGGAACAGTGGGATGCTCTGATTTTTTTTTTTTTTTTTTTTCCGTAATCAACCATATAACAGTGAAAATGAAGGAAAGAGATTGTAAAACAGTAAAAAAAATGTTACGATCACCTTCCACCAAATTGTACTTATTATTTTTGAAAAATACTTTGCCTTTGTTTATTACATTAAATATTAATTTGCAACAACCAGCTCCTTATATACATAAATTGAGAAGAGAACTTCTTGAACTTTTAATGAATTTGTTAGATTCCTAAAACTATCGGTAATTTCTAAAGAAAATGAAAGTGTTACTCTAACATCTATTCCATTTCAAAAGTGTAGTAAACAAAATGAAAATTTAGTGATTGGTGCAGAAACAAGATTATACTTAAAAAAAGCCGAGTTGAACAAAGGTGAAGTGAAATTGCTTTTTCAATTCTGTGCGAGCTTTTTTTAACTGTATGTTAATATACAATAGATAAATTTCCACTAAGTGATCCATTTCTAAAACATGCTGAAGTTGCTGACATCAGCTTGAAAACTGAAGTTTCATTTTCATCTATTCTTTTCTTGAAGAATACTTTCTCATCCATTATTGATGAAAAATAACTTAATCAAGTGGAAATTGAGTTTTCTATGTATCGAGTAGATGATTTGCATATTGATATAGCATGGGGAGAAATTGCCAAATTAAAACACATGAATGGGTGTATTAAATACAATGTATTGCCTATTGTAATGCTTGCTGTCTTAATAGACTGAATTTTGACCAGCTTTAGGCTCTAAAACTCTCGAAGCAGTTTTGATTGAAAAAAAATAAATATGTAGGCAAATGAAGAAATATGTTACGGAAAAACATTCTCAAAATCAAAATTTAAGCTTGCTAAGCATGCTACATATAAATCTTTGCATTCATTATTTATAAATAAGTTATAAGTATTTTTTTAATAGTTATATATATCATTCTTGGTTATCTAAATTTTTTAAAATGTTATTTTCCTGTGGAAATCAAATCCAGAATAAAGATATATGATTAATGGATTCTGGTTTTTTCTATGATTAGTAGTGATTTAAAATACTTGCTTCTATCGTATATTAGTAGATTTAGTGATATACGTGCTTGAGGAGTTAAATGAAAATTTCTGATTAATTGTGCATATAATTTACAAGACATATTTTTAATTATTTAGTTTTATATTATATATATATGGATTTTAAATGTAATAAAATTGATTACAATTAATGATTATTTAAAAATTAATGAATGGTTAATTAAAACATATGCATTTTCAAAGTTATAAAAATGTTGTCTGCACGTTGACTTGACTACTGTTAAGTTTTGTGCAGTTTGGGGTCTAATGTTTATGGTCAGCACCATATTTCATGGTGAGGATGATGAAGATGATATCTACGAATTTGAAGGTTTTCAGGTATCGCAAACCACAGGTGAAATTTTCCAGGTAATGACTTTTTGTAACGAATTGTAGAAAATCTGTAATGAATGAAGATGATAAATGAAGAAAGACAGAAATTTTTCATTGCGATGACTACGCTCCAATCATCAATCAATTAACAGATGGTGAAATCTGTAGTATGGTTCTAGATCCAGAAGATACCACTGCGGATAGTGAAGAAAGTTACAGAGCAGTTATTGAAAATGAAAAAATTGTTAGTCGGAATTCTCTTCACAGCAATTACAGGATTTGAACAATGGAATTTTGTAACTGAACAAGAAAATAGATCTATCTATAGTATTAAAGAAAAGTATTTGTACAAAAACCGAAGCAACTTAAGCAACTTACATTGAAAGAAATGTTTAATAAAATAAACAAATAAATCTAAAGTTTTTTTTTTTTTTTTTAATACTGATGCCCTTTACATCATAAATATTTCATTATTTCACACATCACGATTTCATATTTTTACTTTTATAATTTCTACATGCTGTCTTACTAGATTTAAACTGGTGATCTAATATCCTCAAAAATCCCAAATCTGGAATCGCCGAAGTCCCGACGAATCCGGATCCTCGGACTTTGTTGCCGTATTATATACCTGTATTAACATAAGTGACCCATTTTCAAATTTTGCTTACATATGCTGTCCCTGAAGAAAAGAAATAAAATTGAAAAGTTTAATTTGTGCAATGCATTGCATAAAGATCACTGTAAATATATTTCTACAAAATAAAAATATATTGAAATTTTTTAGATATAATCTTAAATTGTGTGATTGTAGGCAAAAAATGACAGTCCCTTTCAAGTTTCATGTTATTCAGCCTCTTTGTTTTGTAACCGAATTTAATTTTTTAAAATAAAGAAATTTCATTATTTTAAATATGAACTATTAGTGTGTTATATTCATGATAAAAATTAATTACAGAAGTTTTCTTCATTAACATATCAGTAGAAAAATAATTCATCTTCCACTTCAGTGTCATGTGAAAGTCATGTACCACTACAATGTCAAGTATCTTGAGATTGTCTTACCCAAAATTAGTTTGTAAATCTGTCTAAAAGGGGCAATACATGTTCAGTGACATAGATAAACTAGTCAAACTAAGTTTGACTACTTTTAGTATATACTGCTCCTTCCTTTAGACAGATTTACAAACTAATTGGGGATGAAATAATTTAAAGGTAATGGACTTGACATGAAGTGGAAGACGATTTTTTTTTTTTTTTTTTTTTGAATTGTTAAATTTTTATCTAAAAATTTTCAGTTTATATATTAAAATTGTAGAAATATATCTATAGTCATTTTATGCAATGAATTGCTCAAATTAAACTTTAAATATTAATTTATCTTGAATTTTCTTTCTTTTCTTCTGGGACAGCATATGCAAGCAAAATTTGAAAATGGGTCGAGTAATATTTTGTTACAGTAAAAGCTCGGGAAATACCAAATTCTGGATAGCTGAGCATATAAAAAACGGAATTCACATTAGGAAAGCCAAATCAGTGAAAAGCATTTTTCTAAAATTGTAAGAACAATCATCTTTTTTGTTACCAGTTTAAATATCAAAAGTCTACATTTAAAATTATATAAGATTTTGAAAAAATTGATTTCAGTCATAAAACCAACATTTTTTTATTATAATGAATTCTCACCAAACACAGAAGTTGTAAATCATTCCGGTAGTTGAACAGATCGTTCAATGAATAAGTTATTCTTTATTTAATTAGAAGATGAAGAGATATAAATTACCGACATCACATATAAAAAAAACTATTTCATGGAGTCCCAAATATTATCTTTTTTTTTTTTTTTTTTTATCTGAAAATGTGAGGGAAAAACTGAACTCAATCCTTCTTTACAAAAGCTAAACTGTTGTAACGAGAATTCATTGGATTTATATTAAATCAAAATGAATTCTTACAGCTGTGTTTCGCAGTGTTTGCTGACAGTGTGTATGTATTAATAATATTACAAGTTTTATAATGATATTATAAATTGCTCATTTATGAAACTAGTTTACTGAATTTCTGAAGGACTTTTCTTCCATCTCAAAACACCTTGTCAGACTGACAGAGAGTAAAGCAAAAGTTATTGTGGACAGAATATATGTGAAGATGCATTTTACAAACTGAAGCAGGTTTTTAACATCTGTGACAATCCAACGTATCCTCAGCTCAACAAATCATTTATTGACATGGGTGCACGTAATGAGAGTGTCAGGTCTGTTTTGTCCCATGGAATAAATAGTCAGTGTGTTGTAGCATATTGGAGCAAGTTGTTATCTAAATCAGAGATGAATTACTGCATCACCAGAAAAGAGTTGCTTGCCATAGTTAAAGGTTGTAGAACATTTCCATCGTTATCTCTATGATAGAAAATTCCTGCTCTGCTTAGATTATGAGTCATTGACCTGGCTGTTGAATTTCATGAATCCCGAAAGTCAAATAGCCAAATGGATATTGCTAGAATATGACATTTCTATAAGTCATCGGAAAGGCTTGTCACACGGAAATGCCAACACCTTGAGCCTGCCCAGAAAGCCACCAATATTGTTGTGGGGAGGAAGCAAAATACGAGCTGATTAATCTGGTCACGCATCAAGTTATAGCTACAACATCATCTAACCCAGACCCAGAATGACTAAGAAGTCAGGAAAGACCATTAGGAAGATGATGACATTAAACCCATAATTTGCTTAATGAACTCTTCAGATAGGAGGCAAGACATGTCAATCTATAGTTCTACAACAGAACAGTTTTGAGCTCTATGGGACTCGATCTATATTCGAAACGACCTCTTGTACGGGCAGTTCAGGTCAGATGATGGAAAGGCATTCTGATAGCAACTGATACTTCTAAGTTTCTTTTCAACCTTAAAGAGCTGTGTAGCAGTCTGACAGAAGGGCACTTTGGAATCATAAAGACTTTGCATGGAGTTCAAGAGCATTTCTTCTGGAGTAAAGCAAGGGCTGACATGCAAAATTGGTGCCTGTTGTGCAATGCCTGTGTTTATCAGAAAAGACCAAAGAAACTTAGCCGAAGGAAGATGCAACTTTACAGTGTTGGAGTGCCTTCTGAATGTATTGCTTACAGCATCTTGGGATATCTGTGTCAAACTGCTGATGACAACAGACATATCATCGTTGTTATTGATTACACTATAAAGTGGGCATAAGGGCATTCTATCTCTAATGAAGATGCTGTTATGGTAGCAGAGGTAATGATATAGCATTGGATTTCCAAGTTTGGTGTACCTCTTCAGTTATATTCTGATCAAGGAAAGAATTTTATCTTGGTTCTAATTAAGGAACTCTGTAAACAAACAATATGCCAAACAAGAACTTTAGTTCCAGATTCAGATGGTATGGTAGAGAGGCTTAACCCTTTGTGGCTCAGTGTTTCACTACATCACTGACGTCACTCTGGCTGCACCTGCACCCCTCCTTCTTCCTACATTTCCTTGTTCCAACCATGTTCTCCATAGCCGATGCACCGTGCTCACATCCGTGTGGGTATCAGCTGCGATTTGATGTAAGGACCAACCCGCCCTTTTCAGTCCGATCATTGTCCCCTCGTAAAAGCATTTATCTGCTGGAAGTGCCTTTGTTGACGGCAGACTGGCATTCTCTCCTATTACATGTATCCTCCGGGGCAAAAACCAGCTTTCTTCGATAATTCGTCTGGCAGAAATAACAGCAAAAATATTGCCCATTCTGCACATTCCTTCCCTTATATCTTACTTCACGTGCGTCAGAGAGCTGCGCATTTCACATCATTCGCATAACTCAGTGACGCGTGTCTACTCTAAAATTTGCATAAATTTCTGACCACTCCTTCTTGGTGTTGCATTTTCAATGTCGAGCAGTGTATATTCTAATAGATAAAAAACTCTTAAAATAAAGTTCTGTTTTTCTAAAAGTTGCAGTCCCCCCCCGTCCCCCTGTGCATTTTTATTCTGAGTCTGCATTCTAACTGGGAGAATTTTGTTCCTCTCTCTGATATAATTATAATGACAGCTTTTTAAAGATAGGCAAAAAGCAACTTTAGATTGTCGTAGTTTTGAGCATTTATGGCAGTTTTTTTTCTTCTCTTCAAAAGGAATTTATGCTTGATTGCCTCTGAAGTTGATAGTTTTATTCAAAATTTGATGCAATTTTCTTTTTGGCTTAGTTATAAATCTTACGTTGACATGTGTCTCTTCTGATTCTATATACTAACAGCTATTTTAAAAATAATTAAATAAAAGAAAAGGTGTGCTTGTGCTAAGAAGGATTTTTTTTTTTTTAATACAATATCACTTTTATGTTTTATGCAAAAGGTGTCAAACTGATGGGCCATGAAGACATTTCAGTGAAGTATTTGTTGCAAATACGGTGTTACAGTTATTTTAAGTTCATTCAATAATTTACAGTGTAATGTAAATAATGTAAAATAGTATACAATAGTTCTTTGTGTATATAAATTTGTAAATTCATGCTTTTATTTGTTGATTATTTAGTATTTTATTAATTTTATTTATTGAAATTGTTATTTTAGTATTGCATTTAATATTCACTTATTGATTTGTCTTAGTTGCAAGTATGGCTTCCTGCCCCAGGATATGCACTTTTGGGGAAGGGGACAGTGTTACAAATTTTGTATACATGTAAATAATTTTGGAGAAATCAAATGAAAATAGTAGTATTTCTTGGATAATGTAACATGAAATGCTTGAGGATGCAAAGCATTGCTGTATAAACAGGGTTACATAGGTAAGTCCATTTAACATTGACATAAATAGATAGTACTAAACTGTCAGTGGTTTTTGTGACTAAATTTTGTCATGGACTTTTGCAAGAAGTTGCCAAATTTGGCAATATTTTGATCCAATCCATGTGTTGTAACTGCAGGTAGTCTGGTCCCTATGTGAAGTAACTGTGCATGCTTCCAGCAATTTCGAGAAATCGAAGGTACTGGAAATTTCTCGGTGTGTGTGGTGGTGAGGGTGTAAACTATGCAAGAATGAAGAGAGCATCAGTTTTTAGTTCAGTTCAAAGTATTGAGACTTGTGCAAAAGCTTATGCATTTGAAGTTTTTTGGTATTGCGTTGTGTTCAATGTTCTCAGTAGTTTTAAGTGGTAACTACAAAGAGCTGCACAAATACTTTTTGTGAAACGTACCAGAACTATTGTGTTTTTGGAAAAATAAATGTCATCAAACTATCATCAGTTCTGTGTGCATTTAATCCATATGCTCATGACAAAGTGCATGCCCAGCTGTTCATGATGCTATAATAACAGGCTACCACATTTTGGCATTTGATGTCTCATTAACAGAAAGTGCAAATACTTTTTTTGGGGAGTCAGTTTTGACCTTTATATTTTTTATTATGAGATTGTTATCAGATCCTTTCACACATTAGCTGTTAGAATTAAAAAAAAAAAAAAAAGTTTTCCTTATAGCAGATTTGGTATCATATATGGGATCTGTTGGATTTAATTATTTATTTATTTCTGGATGATGCTATTAAAATGTTACTTTAAGAGTAACATTATAGTTATTTGAATATTTGATAAAATGTTAGAAAAAGAAATTATTAGAACAAGAAACAATTTTAGCGCCACAATCTAAAAAATAATTAAATAACTATAAATGATGTACTGCATCGTTACTGTGGATGTAGTCTAACTCCCTGTATTTTTTATCATGTCAAGAACCTTGTTTACATTAAGATCCAGTCTGTATATTATACACAGTGATGAGTAGCATATCTGTTGAAACGATTACTTTTGTGCAGATTATTAATAAAGCATGTTGCAAAATTGGTACTTTTCTGTCAAAGCTATACTATTTGGTCCTCTTAGCTTTTCTTTCTTTTCGTCTCTCTCTCTCTCTCTCTCTGTTTTTTTTTTTCTTTTTGAACTGATTTTATGATTTAAGATTTGCAAAGAGTTGAAAAGCAGCTATCCTGTTTCTTTACAAAGCAGATTGTGTTGGAATAACCATTCTAAAGAATTAAAATGGGACTGTAAGCCAAAATGGTTTTGCAACCTTTACTCAAGCCAAAGGAAGAAATTCCAAAGGAATGTTGTTGGATTATCCATTCCTCTTGTTACTGCTATATATTTAATTTACTTATTTTGTACGAAAAATTAACATTTGCCGAGTTTTTCAAACTAAAGCTTGTTTAAATCACAATACAGCAGTTGAATGATATAATTACATATAAGAGGAGGGATTTGAGAATTGTTGAAAGTTGAGAATGATTTGAATCAATTTGAGAATGTTTTTGCTGTTGTTGACTGTTCCTTTTTTTTTTTTTTTTTTTTTTTTAGTATTAACCCAAAGGCATGATGGGAATAAATAAGCAAAGTGCATCATACAAAATGTGTGGTATGGCGGTAATGGAAATGTACTGTTCCATGTATGCCATCAAATTCATTGTGTGCGTATGTGTATGGCTCAGTGATGATAAATGCATCTATTTCTGGGAAAATTTTCAGTAATGAACTTTAAAAATGAACAGAATAAAAGGACATGTGATTGCAAATTTTAATTTCTAACATTAAAGCTTTTTTCTTCCTTTTCAGAGATCGTAGAGGAAAAATAACTATACCTGCTCCATTTCAAACTACTCTGACATCTGGATCTGTTGCAAGAATTGCACCTAATCAAAAATGGTTTGGTAAGCTGATATGAGTAATTTTTTTAAAAAATTTATTTATTTATTTATTATTATTATTATTATTTAAATGTATTGAAGCAGATTTACTCAGAAAACCTAAAACAAAGCAGCTGTAGAGGAAAAGCATGTCCTCAATTTGCTTGTAGAATTGTCTTGTACAGTATACAAGTATGAGTTCCAGTATGGAGTATACATTAACCCATTTCAATTAGCTTTTTGCTGTCTAATAATAACATATTGAGATAATGCTGGTTTAACCCTTTCAACCGAGTTTTGCATGATTAAAATTTAGCTATGAAAAGTAGTTTAATTTAATGTTGACATGCTAAAAGAAGTGTAATATGAGTTTAAAGTTTTTTATCTTTTCCCATTTCCTGGAAATCTCCTGAGACAATATATCCCAATCATATTGTCAACTGGGACTATATAATGTGAATATTATAAAACGTAAACTCTGTCACATGCACTAGTTTATATATATCAAACATTTTCATATATGTTTCATAAACACAAACATAATATATCAGCATGTAGTAATTTGATCACAGATGGGACATATTAACCTACTGTTAAATACGATTGGGACAATATATCCCACAAAAAGAATTTATTCAAAATTTCTTAAATCTGACATTAAAATGTTAAGAACTATTTCATACCAATTATGCCTTAAATATAATTGTACTTACTGTAAAATTTAAAAAAAAAAAATAGACAAATCAAAACTTGAATAATCGGCGTGCTCAAAAACATAAGTGCACCTCTGCGATCTACAAGTATTGCCAAGTTTCTTTATTTATATATTTGTTCCCTAATTTCTTAAAATCACTGCAAATTAAAAGACCCATTTAAAAGTAGGTTTTATTTACCTATTAGGGGTTTGAAATCTAATCTCTGGGATATATGTGCCCATCAGGACTGAAAGGGTTAAACAATGAAATGAATAAATATTGTGGTAAAAAGAGGACATAAAATTGTTATTCATTCAGTGCGTATAAAAGCTATATTTTGCATATTGTACTGTCAATGCCCATTTTACAGCAGATCTGTTTGCACTGTTTCAGATTTAGCGTTTTTTCAGCGTTTTTTTCCTTTGGGGCTTTATAAAAGGTCGTTTCTACATTCTATCACTATCTAATGATTTGCCAGAGCTGAGACACAGAATTGAAGAGGCTATTGCTTCCATTCTCCGGACTTGTTAACCAAGGTATGGGAAGAACTAGACTGTAGGTTGGATTATGTGTCATGTAACTAAATGTACAGATATTGAACATTTGTAAGAAAAATTAGGTTAGTTTACCTTCAGTTTGATGAATGGTTTATTGTAAATAGTCTAAAATAAAGGGTTATAATATATCTTTAAAACTGGGACATTCATTTATGGACATTCCATAATAAAATATGGTAGAAATGCATACTTTGGTGCAAAATCTCTAAAATTTCAAAATTAGAAAAATATAGTGGAACCAAAGAAATGCATACTTTTTCAAAATTAGAAAAATATAGTGGAACCAAAGAAATGCATATTTTGCACCAAAGAAATGCATACTTTGGTGCAAAATCTCTAAAATTTCAAAATTAGAAAAATATAGTGGTCTATGTTAAAGCAGCTTTCACTTGATATGTGTGTATTCTTGAGATGCACAAATTCTTATTCATGTTCAAGAATATGGATGGACTTTCAGTTTGATAGTAGGGTGGAATTCAAGCATTTCATGGGCATTTTCTGATAATTAACACTTCCAGTTTAAACATTTGATAGAATTCCCAGTATTTTTGATTATTATGTGAGAATAACTAACCTAGGGATGTACATATCACATTTGTGTTTGAGTACATGTAGACTTACATGTTATATTGGAGACTTACATATCATATACACTGGTGTGCAAAAATTAAGGACAAGACGGTTTTTTCAATATAACTTTGTACAAAAGCTTTCCAAATCAACACATTTAATACCGTAAGATCCCCAATATGTAAGGACATGAGTAATGTAAGCAACACTTACTAAAAGAGAAAACAGAGGGTTAAAAAGAAGCTTTATTGAAAAAGTAGCATGGAGTGCAATGTGACTGAAGGCCGAAACATCCTTATGATGAGTATCCAGCAAGAAACATCCGGTCTTTAATAGGGGATATGATCTCCCCTGACTACTAGACAGGTTTCACAGGGTCTGCCCATGCGAGATTGGATGAGGGGTCCATGAGTTGTTGAGGCATTGGGACCATTCATCTTGCAGCGCCAATCGAAGCTCCAGAATCGTTTGGTGGTAAGGTACAAGCTGCCAAGCGTCTGCCTAGAAAATCTCATACATGCCGATGGGATTGAGATCGGAGATCGTGCAGACCAATCCATACGTTCAATATCCTCACTCTCTAAGAGCTGTTCGGCAGCTACTGTGCGATGTTGATATGGTGCATGTCGTCCATGAAAACGAACTGCGGACCCATAGTGCCCCGAAAAAGACACACATCTGGAAGAAAAGAATCTGTTACAATAACAGGTTCCCGTTGGCTGTGAACCTGCGTCGACGAAGATGTGAAGGTTGTACGATACCAAGATGATGCCTCCCCAAAAGAGAACACCGCCACCTCCATACCTGTCACTTTCAATGATGTTCGAGGGATTGATTGTGGCTTCCCCGCTCTCTCCAGATGAGTATGCGATGAGAATCGCTACAGACAAATCTGCTCTCATCTGTAAAGAGTACTCGTCACCATTCATGTCTCTCCAATCCAGTGTTCCCGGCACCAAGAGAATGCCTTCTCCGATGGGCAGGCGTTAGAGGTAACACCATACAGGGCGTCATGCAAACAGACCACCACCATGCTGCAGTATTATGGCCCGGTTTTTTTTATAACGCGATATCAGTGTCTAGTCGCCTGCGTCGTGTGTCTAGCGATTCTCCCGCTGTCCCACTGTTTTCTGGCCCTGTAAGGCAATTATACCGGTCATCTGGGGGTGTGGTTCCTCGTGGACGACCACTACTAAACCCCGGATAGCTGTTCCTGTAGTTCAAAATTGTCTCGAAAGTCATGAAACGATGCTGTGAGCAATTTCCGAACTCTGCAGCCACACTTGTCACACTGCGGCCTTACCTCCAATTCCCAATGATTCGACCTCGGGTAAAACATCCAGATGTCGTTCTAACAGGTTGATTATTCGCCATTTCTCGCTGAGGCAGCAACTCGGTGATTTTAACTGCTATACGGCGTGCAATCTCTTTGCCAGAAATACTGATCTTACACCAACAACATGCTTTATACTACTCGGACACTCCCCCATTACGTCTACCTGCATATCTGCGCATGTGCTATCGTACATCACCTTACTTAATCTCCTGATTGGTCTTTCTGTCCGCTCTGCCTCTTCGTTCAGCTGATATGCTAATTTTTCAACTTCGTCCTTAATTTTTGCACACCAGTGTATATATGACTTACATATTGAGTTATTAGAAAAATTAATTTTTTTGTGTTTTTGTTTAATGTATCATATTTTTTTTTTTTTTTCTGTGTTTTACTCACTTATTTATGTAAAAAACAAAGATTACTCAATGATATTGCTTATTTTGTTTGACAGCTTTTTGCCATCTTTCGGTGAGCCTCGTATTTCCGTGTATGTGAAGTGACTTTTCTTTGTTATAAATAAACTAAACAATGTAATGATTTACAGCCTCATCAAAATCAAAGTTTGTGTAATGGAAAAAGTTGTAAAAATGGCAGAACAAGTAAAAGTTTGATAACACAGTCTGGCAAGTATGGTGGCTGTAGCAACACATTCCATCTAAGCTTAAGTGCGCATCTCTAGATGGGTAATCAGACACATAAGGTCTTGTATTGTTGTGATGGAACACTACTCCTTTATGATTAACAAGATTTGGAAGGCAGATTCATTCAAGTTGCCCGTTTTCCAACTCATTTGAAGTTATTGTTTGGCTTGGTAGGAACTCGGAAACATGGCACCTTTACATATTCTTATGTACATCTCATCTTCTTTACACAGTTGTAGATATTTGGGAAAATAATGTTCAATGTTTCTGCTATCTTTGGTGTCATATAGCAAGGATTTAATTCAATCAAAACCTTTTTTTCCTTGTCATCAATCTTTGTTAGCCTCCTTGGCCGAGAAGCGTCGTTGAAATCAAAATCACCAATTTAGAATTTTATTAATCAAACTGATATGTTATTAACACTGATGTTCTTTTAGAGTATCTTATATTAAATGGTGCATAATGTTTCACAAACTTGATATGCATTGTTCAGTTTCTGGAAATAATGTATAGTATGCCCATGAAAGAATGCCCCAGTTATAAATGTTAATAGTATCAACTTTTAGGATCGTAGAGTGTTGGTCCAATTAAAGAGTAACTCGGAGAGTTTTAGATAAGCACATGCATGAGTACTGCTTTGTTGTTTTCTTGCTTACAAGATCGTGTAAGCAAAATGGTGTCTCCTGAGGGTAAAGCATTTTGTGTTCTGCAATTTGGTAAGAGTGAATCTGTAATTTCCATTCAACATGTATTTTGTTTAAAGTTTAATTGTAGTTGCCAAAGGTGACAGTTTGGAAGGTTGTAAGAAAACGTTTACCCGTGCATCCATACTGGTTACAGTTGGTACATGCTTTAAAGTCAGATCACTATGATGTACTTTTTAACTTTGCAAGTGTGATGTTTGAGCGGTAAGATGACTTTCTTGATCGTGTGGTGGTCATTGATGAGTCAACGCTTCATCAGAGTGGGAAAATAAATACCCATGATGTTCATATCTGGGGTTCAGAATGTATCGTGAACTTGTAGAATACCAGAGATTCTCCAAAATTAAACATTTTCTGCATTGTATCCCAACATCAAGTATATGGATCATTTCATTTTGCTGAAGCTATGGTAAAAGGGTTGGCTTATGTGGATATGTTATAAGAATGGCTCCTTCCCCAGTTAGTAGGAGTGAACCCGTAAATTTTATTTGGCAATGAAATGAAGCCCCTTCCCATTGGAATCTCTTTGTACAAGAGTGGTTGAACGTTAAAGTCTCTGACCGTTGGCTTGGTCTTAATGGTCGAGACGACAATGCGCTTTTTTACCGGCCTACCCATTCACTTGATCTAATAGCAAGCGTTTTTTTCCTTTGGGGCTTTATAAAAGGTCGTTTCTAATATAGATAATATAATCAATTCATCAATATTTTTTAGTAAATAAATTAACTTACTTTGCAGCAATTGCACAAGTAGTAGCAACTTGTTTTCTCACTAAATGAATTTAAGATCATACAGCATTTGATATATATATATATAAATATATTTTAAGAATGAAGCTAGAATTGTCAGCTGTCAAATAAAATATCGATAGCATAGTTGCAAATGACTCTAGTTCTTCCAAAAATAAATTAACACCACCTGTTTCAAAAATGCACCATTGTTTTTCTGACAATTTAAAACAGTATCGATCAGTATTTTTTTGCTGGCCTTGCAAATAATGATGGGACTGTGGAATTTACTGGCTGATGAAAAGGAAGCGTTGTATTTTTTTATTGCTTTTTCTAAAGAAAGAAGATCTCTTTTGTTTGTGGAAAAGTTTTCTTTGGGAGTGATTTTCTGTAGAAGTTTTAATGGCAAGAGAGTATCATTTCTTGCAAAAATATTGCAGTAGAGTTTATTGTATTGTAAAATATTGGAACTATTTAAATGTTATGAAATATTTTATAAAATCGTCATCAGGTTACTAAAAAAATTGACGTAAATGCTATGTAAAAACTATAAACTATGTATTCCTTATATATAATTATATAAGGAATAGCACATGTCTGTGGCTGTTTTGAAACATTAAAGCTTTTGTTACCTAATGTTTCAACAGAACTGAACTTCTTTTCAAATGTTAGAAACTTGCTACCTGCTGTGATCCAAAACTTGAACTGAATACTCTTTGTTGATGCTAAAGAAGACGAAAAATAATTCAGCTCATATTTGACAACAGTAGGAATTATTTCAAATAAATCTAATGTATAGATACCTGAAGTGGTGAATTTTTAATGTGTTGTATGATACTGTATTTAAATGTACTTAATGTACACTTCCATTAAGTCCCCCTTTTTTTGTTGACATTATTTCTTAGTTTCTAAGCATCACTAATTGATTTCACTTCCTTCTTTACAATAATGTTTCTGTATGAACTTTTTTTTTTAATTGCGATAGATTTTATGCTTTGTATTCACCAAAACATGAATAACAGCTATTTTATTTCTTCAAGAAACAAATATTTTTTACAAATAAAAATTATTTAAATAATTACCCCAATGAAATTAAAACATGATTGGAAACAAATGGCTATGCAGCTTTTGCTTATGCCCAGAGAGTAAAAGGAATCCAAACACAAACTTGAGTTTCCTGGATCTAGCATTCCTTTTGTTACTGACGTATGATTCACATATTTATGGTGTCAAGAATTAACAATTTTTGAATTTTGCAAGTAATAGCTTCAAATTAATTGCAACGTAATGGATGATTGGAACTGCTGCATACAAGAGATATGTACCAATTACTTGTATCGTGTTAAGGTTAAAATTAATGGATGTAACAAAATTGTGGAAATTGATGAAACTTTAGTTGCTGTTCCTGAATGTTCCATGCAAATATAAACAATAGAGGAGATTGGATTGGATTGGATTATTCAGTTATGGCAAAGCACACGTGGGCTATCTGCCTAAAGGGAGGGAAACCTTCGGGGAGGACTTTGTAAGGAAAACTGGCTCGTATACATGTTACACATGGGGAAAACCACGGAAACGGCCATTCAGCCAGCCCGTTCACGGGATTCGAACTTCGGAACGAACTACCAGTAGTCAGCGTCTTTACCGCTCGGCCGCTGGTGGGCCCAATAGAGGAGAAGGTTGTGAATGAAACTAATGTTTTTCAACCGCTGAAATGGCTGTATGATGTCAGATTTGTAAGCAGGTGTATACAAACATTTCATAGTAAACCTTAGGTATCATATCATTAATCCAGGTACTGGAGCATTGGTAGGTTGTAGGGTAAAGCTAAGTGTCACAATAAATGCCAATAATGGCCATCAACATAAAGATTCTTATTTGAATTCATATAATATCACATGTATTCTAAAATAAAAAAATGTTCTCTCTTAAATGCTAGTTTGAATTTTATGCTTCCTCATTTGTGATATAAAATTCTTTTATTTTGTGTAATATTTAGAAACTTCTATTTTTTATTAAATTTCAGTTTTGAATATTTTATTTTTATTATGTATAATATTTAATGACTTTTTCTGTATTTGTTGTAATTTCACATTTCTCAGATATGGGGGAATAAGGCAAAATGAATAAAACATAATCAGTTTAACATTGAAAATCCATGATGGGGCTTAAATTGAAAAATACTTGCAAGTAAGTCATATAATGAGGATTTAAACTAGTAAAAATGCTAATAAACATAGTGAAATTATTGGAAAATTGGAAAATAATTTTTCAGAAATTGTTCTTATTTCTGGTATTAGCTGAGCTATTGTGTATTTTGTTAGGAAATACCAAAGTCATTGGTCAGAATGCCTTGCAGCGATTTCAGGAGGCACTTGGAACGGCATTGAAAGACCCTTATCAAGTTGTAATGAGGCAAACCAAACTACCCATTACTTTGTTAAATGAAAGGGCAAAGGTATGTAACATTATATATACGAGGGTTGGAACTTTAATAGTGGCAACACAGCTGAAAAAATGCTATGCAACAAAACCAAAGAATATCGCGTATACCACAGGTGAACTACATACCTACCTTACCTCTCAGCAAAAAGACTCGTCCTGCCTACGTCACGTGCATGCAGAGTGACGCGAAGAACGGATCCTTGTATTAGCTCGCGGTCTAAAGTAAGTGCTGTCAGGATATTTTCAAAACAAGAACAACGATGTTGGGTAAAAATTGAATGTGCCAGAGGTTGTACAGCACGACAGTGTCATCAAGGGCTTCAAGAGGCTTGCGGGAATCTGCATTGCCTTACGGACCGTAGCAAGATGGGTGAAAGCATTTAGTGAAGGACGCCAAAACATGGCAGACATGCTGCGGCCAGGTCGTCCGAGTGTCAGGGATGCAGAACTGCAAGCTGTTGCCGCACTAATGAACAGTGATAGCCGCCAAACGATTCGTCAGCTGGCCGGACAAACAGGATTAGCGCATACGATTGTGCTGCACCTTCTGAAGGAACGCCTGTCTACGAGAAAAATTGCTTCATGATGGGTTCCACATTAATTGACGGAAATGCAGAAATGGCTACGATACGATGCTGCCCGAACCCACCTGGAGTGCTATGAGCATGAAGGAGATGCTTTTGTATGCCGTATCATTACGCTGGATGAGACTTGGGCCCGATCGTACCAGCCAGAACTGAAACGCCAATCAAACGAATGGCGTCATCACAGGTCACTCACGGGTCACCACGACGTTCGAAATTTCGTCAGAACCCCAGCAATGTGAAAGTTATGGTGATTCTTGTGTACGACTGTGATGGTGTCATCCTAACGCATACCATTCCCCCACAGCAGACCACCACTGTGCAGTATTACTGCTCATTTTTGGAGCACAATCTCCGACCAGCTTTGAGAAAAAAACGGCGACACTTTCTGCAGAACGCTCCTCTCATTTTGCATGACAATGCTCGGCCGCATGCAGCGCAAGCCGTGACTGATTTGTTCAATCGATGGGGGGCTGGGAAGTGCTTTACCATCCACCATACTCCCCAGATCTAAGCCCTTGTGACTATGACTTAATTCCTAAGATGAAGGAACCACTTCGTGGCACTCGCTTCCAAACTGTTCCTGAGATTCTTGCAGCAGTAGACCGGTCCATCCAAACTATCAACAAAACAGGCGCTGCTACAGGTATTCTGCGACTTCCACATCGTTGGAAATGGGTTGTACACAATGCTGGCAACTATATTGAAGGACTGTAAAACATGGTGACATAAATCACTTTTGTATTCCTTGTAAATAAATAGTTGCCACTATTAAAGTTCCAACCCTCGTATTTAAAGTCATATAATCGTTAACCTTGAATTTAACTCAGGGTAAAATAATTTGTGTTGTATTATCTAATATAATATGTGCTGCTGTGTTTCAAAATTAAGAGAACCTTGAATTGAAAGATCGAGGTTGGATTATAGGTTATTCAAATAAATTTACGTTCTTTTCTGATAAACCATAGCTACATCTTGAAAAGTTACTACTTGTTGCCGAGTAATTTTTTGCCAAGCTAACGTGTGTGTACAAGACTACAGCCATTTTCGAAAATGGTGGCACATAAAAATTGCATAAAACAACAATTAATAAAGAAAGTTAGAGTCAAAAAGCATTTAATTGGGTAGGGAGTTGTTCCCCAATGTACATAGCAATTTGTTTTAGTTTAAAAAACATCAATCAGCTGTAGAAACATTGTATCATACAGAATTTGGCACTGCTGGTTCTTCCCATGTATACAGTGTCCTGTTTTTAAGTAAAACAAGATCAGAGAATTTCATTAATTTAACATTGTGCACCATGTTGCTTTCCCATGTACACAGTAATCTATTTTTACTTTTAAAAAATCAGAGAATTGCACAGATTTTGATATGCAAAATTTGATCATTTACGACACACAACTTCATGGAATGCAAATTTTTACGTCCTCTACAGTTAGGCAAAACAATAAGAAACGTAAGTTTTTTTTTTTTTCCATCTCTTGGTAAACTTTACAACTCATTATGATTCCCATGTATACAGTGACCTGTTTTTAAGTAAAACAAGATCAGAGAATTTCATTTAACATTGTGCACCATGTTGCTTTCCCTTGTACACAATGATCTATTTTTATACTTTTAAAAAATCAGAGAATTGCACAGATTTTGATATGCAAAATTTGATCATTTATGACATACAACTTCATGGAATGCAAATTTTTACATTCTCTACAGTTAGGCAAAACAATAAGAAACGCAAGTTTTTTTTTTTTTTTTTTTTCCCATCTCTTGGTAAACTTTAAACTCGTTATGATTCCTTACAAGGAAAAAAAAGCACATCTGCACATACCTGAGTTGCCACCTAAATACATTTTGGCGACATCATGTGTTGGATATTTTGTTAAGAAAGCGCATTGCCTGATGAATGTCTTTCAGTGGGTGCACTTATTCAGAAGATAACAAATTTACTTAAGTATTACATCTAAAGAATATACAAGGATATAAATTTGTGAATTAAGTAACATGAAGATGAGATTGCAAAAAAACATATGGTCTTTAGTAAGAGGGCAGTTACATAGAATTTTTTGTATTTTGGTGGGAGCACTTTTTTTTTTTTTTTTCTTTTCTTTTATGTTTCTCACTTTTTGGTTAACCATTGAAATAAAATATTTTCTCACATCATAGTGGAATACAGCTATTGAATTAAAAATTGTTTAATAAAACATGTCTATTTCTTGTTGATTTTTATCAGTTTTTGTGTTAAATCAAAATTACAAATAATAATATGTAATGCATTAGAGTTTTATGTATTATAAACCTGATTAAAATTTATAAAATTTGTGAAATTTTTAGAAGTTGTTAGCATTATTGTTTTACAGAACAAGCGTTTCCATATATTGGATACTGAAGGTTTTGAAACTACATTTGGTCCCAAAGCTATAAGGAAGAGACCCATGCTGAAGACTTGCAATTTAGAAGTTTGTCTTTTTAATTTTTTATAGTGTTAATTCTGTGTTTTAATTATTTGTTGTGTTAAATTTAAGAATTTGTCTGTCATAAATCTCTAAATAAGAGTGTGTGTGTATTATAAAAATAATTACTATAAAATTTGGCACTTAGGTTGTTTTTCACATGCCAATGTGCATCTTAAAGTAATAGTTTCAAAATTTAGTTTAATTTATTTTAAATTTAATGATGAAACTGTCTTTTGTGTATTTTTTTCACATATCTCTGCTTTACAAAAAAAATAATTATCTCAAAGTTTACATTTTTTGTAATATACGAGGGCTATCCAGAAAGTAGATTACGTTTTGGAATAAAAAAATAAACAAAGTATAGGAAACAAATTTTATTATATACAGATGAAAGCCACACTCAAATACTACTTTTCTACATAGTCACCATACAAATTAAGGCATTTATCGTAGCGATGTACGAGCTTGGAAATTCCTTCGTCGAAAAATTCGGCCGCCTGCGCCTTCAACCACTTCGTTACCTCTTCTTGCAGCTGTGCGTCGTCATCAAAACGCTGCATAGACAGCCACTTCTTCATTGCTGGGAATAGGTGGAAGTCGCTCAGTGCCAGGTCGGGACTGTACGGCGGATGAGGAAACAACTCCCACTTAAAAGATTCAAGAACTTTACGAGTGACATTTGCCGTGTGGGGCCGGGCGTTGTCGTGAATCAACAAGATCTTAGAGCTCAACATTCCTCTGCGCTTGTTTTGAATTGCTCTTCTGAGTTTTTGGAGAGTTTGGCAATACCTTTGAGAGTTTATTGTAGTGCCTCTTTCCAGGAAGTCCACCAAAATTACACCTTTTCTGTCCCAAAAAACAGTCGCCATCATCTTCCTTGCCGACATTGTTTGCATGCATTTCTTGGGTTTTTGGGGAGAACTTGTGTGCCCCCACTGCATTGATTGCAATTTCGTTTCACAGTTCACATGTTTCACCCATGTTTCGTCACCAGTAACGATGCGATCGAGTAAAGAGTCACCATCCTTATGGTAAGCGTCCAAAAAGTTCAACGCTGCAGCCATTCGCTGATTTTTGTGGTCCTCTGTCAAGATTTTTGGAATCCATCTTGCACAAAACTTGTGGTAACCAAGCTTTTCGCTGATGATTTCGTGCAACAAACTTCGCGAAATTTGTGGAAAACTCAAAGAAAGTTCCGTTATTGTGAAATTTCGATTTTCACGGACTTTAGCATCGACTTTTTCGAGAAGTTCGGCGGTCACTATGCTGGGTCTCCCACTTCGATCTTCGTCGTGAACATTGGTTCGGCCATTTTGAAATCTTATGACCCACTGACGCACTCCACCTTCAGTGATAATGTTGTCCCCATACACTTCACGAAGCTGCCGATAGATTTCTATCGGTTTACAGTTTTTTGCAGTCAGAAACCTTATTACTGAGCGCACCTCGCAGCTCGCGGGATTTTCAATTAACGCAGACATTTCAAACCGTCACAGTATCTGAACGGAGCACAGCACGAACCTCTCACTAGCACGGCTAGATGCAGACTGAGCTGGCAACGCTCTGACCCCAAGATGGCCGCGCTAGCCCCGCCCCTAGCGGACACAGACGGAAACGTAATCTACTTCCTGGATGGCCCTCGTATATTTGTATGCCAAAAGTAAAATATTCCTGTCTTGCTGATATGTAATTTATTTTTTTATTTTTATTTTTTTTTTTTTACATAGGAATTTGTGAATGCTGCTGAAGAATCTGCTGAAAATTATGATGCAAGCAAAGATAAAAATCTAGTCACTGAGAAAGAAAGAAAAGAAGCAAAGGAAATGATTATGTTAAAAGGGCAATCAAAACGTTTGTGGAATGAGTTGTATAAAGTAGGTGTCATAAATATGTTTTTGTTTTAGTATCTATATGTTATGGATGGTTGTTTTTTAATGAAAATCAAAATATTTTTTCAATATTTGAAATTTTAAAAATATATATTTTACATGCAATAAAGCTATCTGTATCTCTTGAAGGTAATTGACTCATCAGATGTTGTAATTCAAGTTTTGGATGCTCGGGATCCTATGGGTACTCGATCAAAACACATTGAAAATTTTCTGCGCAAAGAAAAACCTCATAAACATCTTGTATTTGTTTTAAATAAATGTGATTTAGTTCCGACTTGGGTTGCTGTAAGTATAGTTGGAATTTATGTAAACATTTGTGGTTTTTCTGTTTGTCTTTATGTTTTTCTATTATTATATATGTACTTTTATTTACTTAATTGATGCATTTTTTGTGTATTTTATTTAATTTTGAATTTATAAACACTTTTTATGTGTATTTAATTTATGTATCATTTTGAAAACCCTTTGCTTCTGGATTTGCAGTAGTCAACTCTCTTAGCTTTTCCTTAGGAAAATATTTTGTAGCAGTAAATGAAATTTTTTGAATTATTGACATAGTTTTTTGTATTACATTTTATTTGATCTGAATTCTCGTAATCTACTGTAAACATTTGTAGAAATTTTTATGAAGATAAAGAAAAATATTTAATCATTTAATATTTATATTAATTTTCTTTTATATGAATATTAGTACATTACTTAATTTCTATACACAATATTTTTTGCATTAATTATTTTTTCTGTTGCCTTAAAAAATTTTTCATAAGTAAAAGCTTTCCAACCCTAGTTAGGTCTTTCTCATAATAAAAGTTTAAAAAATCTACTAAATTTAATTATCCAAAGAACATAAAAATTTCAATGCTGATTAAATATGGATGTATTTTACACTAGAATCATATTAGGAATAATCAAATAACCTAAATCATGCATTACAAAGTGAATTTAAGTCAACTTGGAGTTCTTTTGAAATGACAGTGCAGTGTAGCAAAAATCTGGAAACTACCAGTTTTTGCACAACAAAATATGTTTTTCACATTTCAAGGTTAGCAGTTAAATGGCTTGATTGACACTGAAATTCTAAGGATAGTTATAGTAGAACTGGAGATATATATGGGAGACAGTAACTTTTTTTTCCCAACTTGTTGACACTATAGAAATTTCTAGAAAAATGCTTTATTGAAACCATAGGAGCAGTTTTCTAAAAAACTTCAGAAGTTCCTTTCCTTTTTCTTGAATAATGATATAAATGAGAGTGTATGAGCCAGTTAAATCGGTACTTAATTTGTTCTAAGCATGCTGCTTGATGACTATTGCTACAGATCGGGCATCGGCAACCTTTTTTGGCTGTTAGTCAAAATCAGCCAAAATATGTGTAGTAAGATGTTTTGGGTCAGTGGTATTTCCATTTTAGAACAGAATTTCTTGGTAAATGATAAGATAAATTTTATTGAAAAAATAATTGTGCTTTAAAATTTAAACATAAAAATTAAAAAAACTCTGATTGCAGTTATGAAAACAAACATAACTGAATGAATTTAATTTTTCTCTTTGTTATCAATGGCTTCCCTGATGCTGAGCTTCTGACGTCAGTTTAGTCAAGCTGGCATATAGTTAGTCAATTTAAGATGAGTACAAGCATCTAAATTTCCTGTAGCTAAGCTGCTCCTGTTTTCACTTAAAATAAATTTTTTGTGTGAAAATAAAATATTTGCTCGCATTTATAAGTTGAATCGAATGTGTACAAAATGGCAAAGCCAGATTTTTGGAATTATGGATTACTGATCAGCATTGCCAAATTTATCGATTCCTTGAAATTATATGATTTTTGAAAATTCGTGTTTGTTATTGCAACTTTGTTAGCAACCAAAAATGTTATTGCTATTATTTATTTTTGGTTTATTTTTTATGTATTCTTCTATTTCTATGTACTATTATACTTTATTTTCAGAAGCCAAGTGGGTCACTTGAAATTATGAAATGAGTCACTGGGGACTAGCAGATCATATGTTGCCGAGGCCTGCTATAGATTTTGCTGTGTGAATTTATATGTGATTGTTGATATTCCTTGCTTTTGAGAATTTTGGCTTTATCTTTGTGATCTGCTTGAGCTATTTTTAACTCTGTTTTCTTTGTAAGATGTGTTATTTGTTTTAGAAAGTCTTCTTTGAATCCGTAGTGTGCAACAGTATGTATTGTATTATATGACTTATATTTATATAATGTAATGCATACAAAATGTCTGTTTGTGATATATGAATCTTAAAAACCCGAACACTTCAAAAAGTATTTTTTGGAAGACACATACTTATTATTTTAAAATTGAGACAAGTTTCAGGCATTCTCTGATTTTTGGCTACTTTCTGATTCAAGTTTTGCACTTTCGACACTATATTGACACATTTGGCATATTTCTTTCCCACATGTGTGGCTGGATACTAGGTGTTTATTTTCCAATTTTTCTCCCCATTTTTCTCTTCTTTTCATATTATTTTATTGACAATATTTCTGTTGGTTTCATTTCTGAATTTCTGTTAAAAAAAAAAAAAAAAAAGAGCATAGATAAAAACAGAAAGAAGTAATTATGTTTGTTCATTTTAAATGAATAAATAAAATATGTAAAACAAAAATAAAAATCAGAATAATTAATAAACATTGCATAAAAAGGAATCACATGCAAGACTAAACAGCAGGAGTAAATTTAAGAGTGAAAAAGTGTTTACCTGTGGGCTATCTATAAAGACAGTTATTGCCAGCAAAGAAGCCAAACTGACAAAAAGTGTTAAAATAGTATTGCTAAAATCGAAAAGTACCAATTATTGTTATTAACAAAATTGTGTACATATTGATTGAGAAAATAAGACTGCGGCCCACCAGTGGCCAAATGGTAAAGTCGCTGAATACAGGTAGTTCGGTCCAAAGTTCGAATCCGGCGAACAGACTGGCTGCATGGGTGTTTTCATGGTTTTCCCCATGTGTAACATGTATATGAGCCAGTTTCCCTTAGAAAGTCCTACATGAAGGCATCCCTCCCCTTAGGCAGATAGCCCTCGAGGCTTTGCCATAATTAAATAACCTAACCTAACTCTAAGACTGCAAATAATTAATTTATAATAGAGCATTCTAATTTAATTAGATCTAATATATGGAACTTCCTTGATATTTAAACTTGGTCAAAGGGTATATAATTCAAAAGAAAAGTTAAATAATTAAAAATAAAAAAGTATCTAATTTTGTGATGCATTTTGAGCCTGTTTGAGTAAATAATGGTAGCAATAGGAAGAATACTAGTTGCTGAAACTTCAGTTTGATGATGATGTAAAGTAGTAAATGTGCAAGGCTGTCTATCATGTTAATCATTCATTATAATTATTAATTTTTTTATTTAAAATATGTACGTAAAAGTCAGCAATATACTAAATATTCATCAATGATTATGATATCTTTTTTACTACTTATGAAATATAAATTGGTAGAGAAACTATTTTAGCTGTTAATTCTGAGAAAAGAAGATCTGTTTATGGATATCTTTCCATCAGTGCTATCAAAATAACACCATATAATGTAATAAAAATATAGCTGAATTCATTGGATACAAGGAAAGACATGTTTGCGTCTTATCTGTTAGGTCTGATATTTATGCTTACTTGTAAAGTTTGCACAACATATTTAAGATATAGTCACCATTTCCTTTCAGCTTCAGTAATTCAGGATTATACCATGTATTTAAATCCAGAACTCTGTTATGCTCTTTGTAAAATTAATTTCTTTTTAGTTAAAAGTTGTTTTTTATTTTGCAGCAACGCTGGGTTACTATCTTATCTGCAGAATATCCGACTATGGCATTTCATGCAAGCATCACTAATCCTTTTGGTAAAGGAGCATTGATTAATTTATTAAGACAGTTTGGGAAGGTAATGCTCATGTTTATAAATTAAATTTTTTATTTTCTAGAAAATAGGGGCTGCTTAAGATAGTGCTTAGATTTTCTTTCTTTTTTAATCTATGCATAATTTAAACACAGTTTATTGTGTTTTCTTTTAATTAGCTCCATGAAGACAAAAAACAGATTAGTGTTGGATTTATTGGCTACCCAAATGTTGGAAAAAGTTCTATCATTAACACTTTGAGGTCCAAAAAAGTTTGCAATGTTGCTCCTATTGCTGGTGAAACAAAGGTTTGAAATTATTTTATTTATAATATTTACTTTGAAATTTATAACGTAATTTAAATTTAGCTAGAAATTTTTATGTGCATTTTGTACTTGTTTCATGCAGTCGTGGAACTGATCTTTCTTTATATTAATTTTCTTTCTCACTAAAATTTAATACTCTTTTATTTGAGTTGAATGTATTTCATTATTAATATCTTTTTCAATTATTGTTTCAGCTCATATATTTAAAATAAAACATATGTTAGGTAATTTGCCAAATTCAAATTTTTCAACATAAATAAACTATCCTGGGAAAAGATGTGGCAGTAAGTTAAAATGTATAAGGTAACAAATTTAACAAATTTTTAACTTAAAATCCCTTTGGTTTACTAACCTGTCAAGCTTTTTTGTTAATACAGGCTTAAGAAATAGAAATACATGTTTTTCTGTTTGAGACTGTAGTAATCCACTATGTAGTATTTCATAACATTATAGTATTTGTAGTACATTTCAGTGAAAACTAAGGAATTCTGTAAATTTTTTGATTCATTAGTACTTCGGTTACTGAACTAAAAGCTTCCTCTGAATATGGACAATTAAATATGTCTTTTCTGCTAATAAATGAGATAGATTATCGTATAATCCTCCACATATATATGTCATAATATTTTGGAAGAGGAGTTTTAGTATAAGTGAGATTTGAAGAGCATATGAGCCACAGTGCATAGAAGGATGTAGTGCTAAGTGGCATATGTAGAAGTCTTGATGAAATTTAAAGTATACAGCTGAACTCCATTGCATATAAATGTGCAGGAAGGAATCAAAGTTTCAAAGGAGTATTTTGCATCATCTACATCCTGGCTACTTGCTATGTTAGTAGTGAGGACATATGTCCTAATCTGTAGCTACTTGCTGTGTAATTGTCATGATGGTTATGCTGGTCTTTCCATCTATTATTGAAAAATATCATAAATGCCATTGTTAGCAGTGAATCTTGGGCATTTCAATCTGTAAGTAAATAAACATGCATCAAAGCAGGGTATTTATGTCATGTTTATGTTTTACTTGCAAGCATTTATGCCTAGAAGTGAGGTAATCACAAACTAGAAGAGAAACACACCATTATATCATACTGAATAATGAATATTTGTTATTAGTAATGGTAGTGAATCGAATTTCCTTGAAGCTTTTTACTTTCAAAAAATTTTTCTTTGATTCATTTCAATCCAGTCTTTCCTAATGTTTTTGGAATTCTGATATCTTAATTTTTCACATTTCTTTTCGGTTTTTCTTGACAGAGGATGGCACTTTCATGTTCGCTTTACTCTGTTGGATGTAACTATCTGTTGGATCATCCCATTTTGCAGAATTTTTTTTTTTTTTAACCTGTTTAATCACCCTTAAAATCAACAGAGTTTTATTCAAAATCTACACTAAAATAAGATTGTTATTTTGCCTAATTTTAAAGCCTAACTTAGTATTTGCTCATATATAATTTGTTGCTTCTGCATTTTTAATTTTTCAAATACCTTTAGTTTAAGCCCACTCTTGTGTATTCAAAACAAATAGAAGGTTATTTTGTTTATTTTCAACAAACTTTCATAATTGATTTTGGTAACCATGAAATTTCTCTCAAGTATACCTTTGACAATTCTACTATATTATTTAAAAATTTGAAGTCATTGTTTTCCTGAAATAAAGGAAAAATCAATTTAGGCTTTATGCCTAAAAGCGATTGTTACATTTTGTTTCATCCGTTACCGACTTCAGAGTTAAAAATGTTGACGAATTTTGATAAATTGCATATGGATATATGCCTCTCCTATTGTGCACGTTGCTGAAATCGGTGAAAGATAACGAGAGTTGTGCTTAAAAAAATGATCCAACTGCTGCTTACAATAATGTTGTGGGCCTCTTTTTTAGCTTATTAAATGAAAGAATATTTAGTCAAAATTTCCTCTCTTTCGAACTTCTCCTTAGCACTTACATATGTTATTGTTGTAACTTATCTTACTTATCTGACAATAACATCAGAACAAGCTTATGAAATTCATCACAGCAAAGAATGCAAGATTGTGCCTATCATTGATAAGAGCCTTGAGCACCATACAGGTGGCAGTATGCCTTTGCTCAGTTCTCCTCTCCAGTTTTGATGGAAAGCACCTGGGGGGACAGGTCCGAGGGGCTTCCACCTCTTTTTCCCTACCACCTCCTTTCGAGAGGATTTTCAGCTCACCACATATTTAGAGGCCTCCCATGCTGCACAGGCACTATACAAACATCCATGCCTTCTCCGGGATTTGAACCCAGGCTCTTTGGTACGGCATTGAGCATCTCTAACCACTATCCCGGTTGTGTGGCCCTTAGCAGACATTCACTGCACTAAGGCTTTTTTTTTCTGTTATCAGGCACAAAAGCCATGCTCTGTTAAATTATCAGTATCCACAGAGTAGGAATATGTGACCTCTGACTTTGAGGGTCCAGAAATTCATTGTTAATGGAGGTTCAATAGTAGATATTAATAAAATAAACTACTATGAATGTAGAAATAAAAGAGTCCTGAGCAGATCTTATCAGAGCTCAAAATGGACACATAGCTAGAAATTCCTGCACATAAATATATGAGTTAGTGATTTTTCAATATGAAACTAATTATGATTATGATTGTAAGAAAGGTATCACTAGATCATGCTGTATTAAATGAAGTTCTCTTGTTTTTGATTGTTAAGTATAATATTTTAGGTATATTTTCCTATAAATTGAATAATAAAATGTATTTGTGCAATCTAGAAATTTTTTTCTTGTATTATATTTATGATAAAACTGAATTGCTAATTAAAGATTTTATTATCATTATTATTGTAATTTTAGGTTAATGTTCTTATTTAATAACAATCATGTATTAAACATTTGAAATTTTTAAGACAATAGTGGTTTTTGTTTGTTTGTTTGTTATATTGCTGTATTTAAGAAAAACATAAGCTGATTTTCCTCTCTGAGTTTCACTTTAAATATGTCTTTAAAAGGTTTGGCAGTATATAACATTGATGCGAAGGATATATCTGATTGATTGCCCTGGTGTAGTTTATCCAACTGGTGACACTGATACAGAAATAGTTTTAAAAGGCGTGGTAAGTTGAAATATTTAAAACTTAAGCTGATGATGATCACTATTTGTTTTTTTACACAACTGATTTTTTTCAATATAAATTCAGTAAAATATTCAACATTTGCATACTTTTAAAGCATTGTGTTTCAATTTTAGTAAGATTGTTTGTAGGAAAATGAGTTTTTTTTTTTTTTTTTTTTTTTTTAGTTTGAAATCCAAGTTAAGTAAATTGTAAATGGAAAATGTTACTTCTTAATAGATAAAGATAATCTTTGAAAATATTATTACGGATTTGGTATTTAAATAGCTTATGTTAGTTGAATGGTAAATTCAATGGTTTTATTTCCCACGCAGTGCAGCGCGTGACGAATATTAAAAGAAAGCTAAGCCAGAAAATTGAAAATACATGAGCGCGTGCATGTAACATTTAATAAATATCTCTTGAAAGTACTAGAAAATTCTTGCGCGCGATTTTAAAATCTTATAAAAGGAGGAAAACCTCTCAGTTCGTTGTAGTTACTTAGTTTGTTGTTGTTTTCAGAGTTTGTTTAGAAAACTGCTGTTGTAGCGAATTCGCAGATTAGCTTTCTCTAGCTGTTTTGAGTTAAGTTCTTTTGAACGTTTGAGTAGTTAAAAGACAACTACTGTGAGATATTGTAATACTGCATGGATATTTTAGGAAATTTAAGCATATTTGTTGTGATAATAATAAATTTTTGTTCATTTTTCATTGAAGTTGTGCATTCATTTTGTAATGAACCCGTACGCACGCAACAATTTTTGGTGTCAGAAGTGGGATTTTGAATGCCAATTACAAGAGCGATGGAAGAACAATTGAGGCAGCTCATTAGTGCTTTTGCTGCATTCCAAGAAAAGATGGAAGCTGGCCAAGCATCATTTAAAGAAGAGATGAAAGACTCTGTTAAAGAAGAGATTAAATCCTTTAAAAAGGAGATGAAATCTAGTCATGAAAAGATTGAAGCAGGACAACAAAAGATTGAAACAGGTCAAGAAGATATGAAAAGAGAAATTACCTGCATAATAGAAAATAAATTTGAAGCTATGGAAGGCAGAATTGACACAGTTGAAAATAAAGTTGTACAAATTGAAGAAAAAGTTTCTTCCGTAAAAGATCAAATTGAAGAAAGAGTCTCTTCGGTGAAAGAAGAAATTGAAGAAAGAATTTCTTCTGTAAAAGAACATATAGAAGGGAGAGTTTCTGCTGTGGAGGAACGAATTGAAGGAAGAGTTTGTGCCGTCCAACACCAAATCAAACAACAAATTGATGATAGGGTTTCTGCTGTAGCCAAAGAAGTGGATATTTTAAAGAAATTCATAGCGACGGCAGGGAACAATGGTGATGGTTTTAAATTTTTACCCATGCCTGCTCTCTGAAGTTATCCACTTATGATGGGAAGACCTCCTGGCAAGTGTAAAAAATACGATTATCTATAATGGTGGATACGAATAGATGGGATTCCCAAACTAAGGCCTGTCATCTCGCCGCTTCTCTGAGAGCAGACGCAGCAGATATCCTGCAGATGCTTCCCGAGAACCAAAGACTTGACTTTGAAGCTCTATCCAGCGCATTGGAGCTGCGCTTTGGCAAGAAATTTTTAAAAGACTACCGCAAGCTTCAATTAAAATTCCGTCAACAGAAGCCCACCAAATCACTCTAGGAACTCGCCACGGATGTTGGAAGGCTGTCCCACCTCGCCCCTACAGAGTGCCCGAGAGAAACGAGGGAAATCCTGTCGCTGCAATATTTCATCGATGGCATCCGGGACCCTGAAATACAGAAGCACTGCGAATGGCGGATGTTAAAGATTTGAAAAGTGCTTTAGTGTATGCCATGAAATTTGAGGCAGCCCAACAAGCCACTCGTCGAGACCACCACCCAGTCTGAGCTGTTCAAGTCCAGGAGCCAGGGAATCAAGTCACCGCTCGTCTAGACGATTTGACTAGACAACTGAACGCCTTGAGACAGAATATTGGTGAGAAGAAACCGACCATTAAGTGCTGGAACTGCGGTGCTGAAGGACGCATACTACGAAACTGCAGAATACCCCAGAGTACGGATGTTAAGGCCGCTCCTAACAAACAGCAGGGAAACTAATTAGTGGCCATCTCGCGGGGCAGAGGTTGCCAAATAATGAAAAGCCCCAGTTTAAAGCGCTTCAGATTTCTGCAGTGAGAGGCGGCAGTAATGGACTTTTCATAATAGGACATATTAATGAAGTTCCCTGCAATATGACTATAGATACAGGAGCCAACGTTACCATCATCTGAAAAAATTTGGCTCAGCAACTGGAAAGCAAACGTATCTGGATGCTGCCCTGCGTTACCCTATAGACTGTGTCCGGTGAGAAGATCGACATCGATGGAAAAGTAAATGTTAACATCACATTTGGAAGTGGCGCTTACCATCACACGGCATATGTAGGCAGAGATCACTGATTCTTGCATACTCGGATTGGACTTTCTAAGGAAATACAATTTTCCCTTGGACTTTAAAAATAACGAATTGCATTCTGAATCTGAGCCCTATTTATGTGAATCTGAGCCCTATTTATTTATCTGAATCTGAGCCCTTTATTTATTAATCTGGGCTCTAAGCCCTATTTGGAATTAATGATGTAATGAAATCTATCCACAAAATTATAGCTCAAGATGATATCACAATATCCACAAGAACCGAGTTTTTACTTCCTGGATCCATAGCCGAAAATAGAAATTTCCGCCATGGCATTATAGAATATCCTGATAACTGTAATAGCCCAAAAGGAGTACTAGTAGCCTCAACACTTGTCGACCTAACCAAAATGTTTATCCCGGTGAGAGTCGCCAATGTAACTGAGAAGTCGAGAGTTATTAAGAAAGGTGAAGTGGTTGCAACATGTACTCCAGTAACCAGCGTTGAAAGAAAGAGTAACATTTCAGAATCCGTGTCCTCAGAGAGCATTACATCAGAGTTATTTCAGAATGCACAATTAAACGATAAAAAATGAAAGGCTGCCGATCGCGTCATTAAAGATCTTCAAGATGTTTTTTCCCGCTCGTCTTCTCACATGGGTTGAACTAGTTTGACACAACATAGAATAGATACCGGCAATCATCCCCCGATCAAGCAACATCCAAGACGTCTACCGTTTGCTAAACAGGAAGAGGTGCGAACACTGTTAAAAGATATGGAAGAAGGCGATGTCCTCGAGCCTTCAGCAAGTCCATGGGCATCTCCCATCGTTCTCGTCAGAAAGACGGCTCAACAAGATTTTGCGTTGACTATCGCCGGTTGAATGAGGTTACGAAGAAAGACAGTTACCCTCTTCCTAGAATTGACGACATTCTAGACACTCTTTCTGGAAGCAAGTGGTTCTCAACACTTGATTTAAAGAGTGCGTATGGGCAGGTAGAAATACATCCTGATGACCGAGAAAAGAAGGCATTTACTACGAGACAAGGGCTTTGGCAATTCAAGGTGATGCTGTTTGGACTGTGTAATGCGCCGGCAACATTCGAACGCCTCATGGAGACTGTTTTGAAAGGTCTTTCCTACAAAGCCTGTCTGATATACCTGGACGACATCATCATTGTCGGAAAGAGTTTTGAAGAACATCTAGAAAATCTTTGAAAGGTGCTTCAGAAACTGAAAGAAGCCAACCTGAAGCTGAGTCCCGCTAAATGCAAATTGTTCCGAACTGCAGAAGTGACTGCAGAAGGTGTGTGCATGGATCCTGAAAAGGTATCAGCAGTTAAATCCTGGAAACCTCCCGAAAATGTCCATCAGCTGAGGAGCTTTATAGGGCCTTGCACCTACTATAGGAGATTCATGAAGGACTTTTCTTCCATCGCAAGAACCCTTCACAAGCTGGCAGAGAGTAAGCAAAATTTCTTGTGGACAAAAGAATGCGAGGATGCACTTAACAACTTAAAGGAGGCTTTAACATCTGCTCCAGTCCTGACGTATCCTCAGCTCGACAGACCATTTATTCTCAACACAGATGCAAGCAATGAAAGTGTCAGTGCTGTTTTGTCCCGAGAAATAGACGGCCAAGAACGTGTAGTAGCTTACTGGAGCAAGTGCCTGTCTAAACCTGAGAGGAATTACTGTGTCACTAGGAAAAAGTTGCTAGCCATAGTTAAAGCCGTAAAGCATTTCTATCATTATCTATATAGCAGAAAATTCATCCTCCGCATAGACCATGCCTCATTGGCCTGGCTTTTAAATTTTAAGAATCCTGAGGGTCAAATAGCCAGGTGGGTACAGAGACTCCAAGAATATGACATCACTATCTGTAATCGTAAGGGATCATCACACGGGAAGGCCGACGCCCTATCTAGACGACCTCGTCCAGAATGCTGCCGATATTGTTCCAGGGTGGAAACGAAATACGAGCTGCTGACTCAGGTCGCAAGACAAATTACAACATCAGCATCGGCTGTTCGAGACCTGTGGAGTGATGATGAAGTCAGAAAAGACCAGCTGGAAGACCGCGACATTAAACCCATGATTGATTTAATGGAGTCATCAAACAGAAAACCTACCTGGCAGGACATTTTTACCTGTAGTCCTACAACAAAACAATATTGGGCACTCTGGGATTCACTTCACATTCGAAACAGCGTCTTATACCGGAAATTCGAATCAGATGATGGGAAGACATTTCGATGGCAACTGATACTTCCAAGATCCCGCATTCCTGATGTCCTTAGCAGCATACATAGCAGCCCTAAAGGAGGCCACTTTGGGATAAAGAAGACCTAGCAGAGAGTTCGTGAGTGCTTTTACTAGAATAATGCAAAGGATGACGTGCAAAAGTGGTGCCGATCTTGCGATGCCTGGGCAGGTCGGAAAGGACCGAGGAAACGCAGCTGAGGCAAGCTGCAACGTTACAACGTAGGTGCGCCGTTTGAACGTATCGCCTTTGACATCTTGGGACCTCTGCCACGAACTGCTGATGGCAACAAATACATACTCGTAGTCATTGATTACTTCACCAAGTGGCCTGAAGCGTATCCTAT